GTATCCTCATTTTTTAAACTTTGTCCAAATCAACCTTAAGGTTCTTTTTTAATTTGATGTATTGGTTCTAGATTAAAATTTCAATTTTATGCATATTTTCCTAGATTGTATTTTATTGACTTCAATAAGATTTATTTTTGAATAACATGCATAGGAGTTCACTGTAGTTCTAGAGTGTTTTGACAACTATTGATTGTTTACTGATTCTCATCTCGCTAGAATCAATATTATTTTCTTTCTGATGTTTATTATTAAAGCATTAGCAGCATTTAAGCCAAGATAGTATGTACAATTACAGGCACTGCTCAACTTATGACCACAGATGAGCACAAAATTTCCATTGCTAAGCAAGAAAATTTTAAAGTGAGTTTTGCCCCATTTTATAGCCTTTCTTGCCACAGTTGTTAAGTGAATCACTGCAGTTATTAAGTTAATAACATGGTTATAAAGTGTATCTGACTTCACTATTGATTTTGCCTGTTAGAAGATCACAAAAACTTGTCACATGACCCCGGAACAATGCAATTATCATAGATACATGTGTGTTCCAAGCATCCAAAATTTGATCACATGACCATGGGGATATTGCAAGAATTGTATATGTGAAAAACAGCCATAAGTCACTTTTTCAGTGCCATTGTAATTTTGAATGGCCACTAAATGAAAGGTTATAAGTTGAGGACTACCTATAAGAAGGCAATTGTGTATTTGTCTACTGAAAAGGACTCTCGGTGTACAACACAAGACATTTATTTCATATCTGATTCATCAGTACTTTTGGTTTCCAAAATACAGTTTACCACCATATGTGGTTCCATAGTGGGAGGAAAAAGAATAGAAGGAACAAGATATCCAGTGCTGATCCCATTTGAATCTTCCTGTAATTGATATACATGTACTTTTCACTTGAAGCAAGTGAATATTCTTTTGTAGGTGAATCTGAATTGTAACTTATCTCACAATTGAAATAGTAACAGTCACATTATATTTAAATTTGAAAATAAAGTAAGTTTAATCGTTTGACAACATTCCCAGTTTTCCAGAACATTCTTTAGACCAGTTTTTCTCAATCTTGGCCATTTTAAAATGTGTGGACTTTCAACTCTCAAACTTCCCCAGCCAGCCAGGCCTCCTATTTTCAATATTGTGTACTATAAAAGGACAATTAGTTTTCATTGAAAAAAAAGGACAAAGTAAACCCAATTTATTTCCAATTTATTTATTCTAAACGAAGATAGTAAAGTGATATGCAAAATATTTTTATGTGACTTACTACAAGAATAGCAAGTTGTGTGAAATAGTTCTGAAGCAGGAATCCAAGTAGTTTTTTAGGGGGGAAAATATAATATAAAATATTTCTAATTTTAATTTCTGGAAAATGACACCATGGTCTCTATATTAGTGTCAAAATCTAGGCATATATTCAGCAGAGCAAAATTTGCAATGGGCTCTCTTCATCCCAAAAGGTGGCTGTGGCACATTCTTTTTGTCAGAGAGATTAGAACGTCAGTCTCAAATGATAACTGGTTACTGAATATTTGTGGTAGTCCTTCCAGACAGGTGGTTATAAAACAGGGTGAAACAGTTGTTAGTTGGTTTTGAAGCTTTAAAAATGGGTAGCTTTGAAACGTGAGCAACATGATATAAAAACAAGTTGAAAAACCAATGTGATTTCTGCACAGAGGACAAAGTCAATAAACGTCCACAATCACAGGGGTTGTATAATCGGAATGTCTGATTCCAAAACTGCACACAGGAACACAAGATATCTAGAGATGGGAGGATGAAAGCAGGTAAGGCAAAATAGACATGTCTTCTGGCTATTGGTACATTTTCATACTGTAAAATTAGTACATTTTAATAGCATTTATTTTCTTTGAATAAGAAAAATATAGTTTGTAATAGCAAACATGGTAGTGGTAGGCACCAAGGCCCATTTAGTAGAGGAGGTCCCCTAGGGAGAGAGCTAAAATACTATGCCCTTCCCTCAATCTTGACTTTTAACTGCTGAGTGCAGCCAATAAAAGGACACACAGCCACTATTTTCCTGCTGATACAGCAGCTGTAAGCTTGAGCCTCATGAGGATCTCTTCTGACTTTGAGCCACCCATGTCCCTCAACTTCTTGCCCCAGAAGATACTTTCCCTCACTTAGACAAGTAAGAGTATCCTTTTATGCCTAGGCCTCTTTTATGCCTCTTTGCTGCCATCAAGTGGTCTTCTGAAGCTTTGATAATGGAATCCCTGGAGGTACATTGTAGTACAGCAGACTTTTTCAGGCTACAGAAACTTTTAGTTGCCTTTAAAAAAAACAACAACTCAGAACCTATGATTAAAAGGCACACATCTGATGATATACTATCTGAATAGTATATCCAGAGCATTGTAATGATAGAAAATTAGCTACATTTGAGTGAAGATTTTTTTTTATATCCTTAGTCTCCCATGAAACTCCATTAAGTCTTATGGAACCTTAGGTTCTCCATTTGAGATTCCATGGATGTAATTTGAAAAGGAATGTTGTGTGGG